CTCTCTTATAATCCCTTCCTCTCCAATGAATATAGGTATAAATATTAAATCTCTTCTGGCTAATTATCCCAGCATCATTGCAGTGAACATTCCAAATTGCAACAGGGTGCGGGGAAAGTACAATCATAGTCATGTGATCTCCCTCTTAGCGAATGCTTCACTTATTGACAGAGTTGCCAGCCCCAATTGTCACTAAACAAGGACTAATTGTACTTCTCTGCCCCAAGAAGCAACTGGAGATGAAGCAGGGAAGAAAAACTCCTTGGTATCAGTTTTCGAATTCCACAGAATGGAAACTCCACTCCGCGCAACTGAAGAACAACAGAAGTTCCACAGACCTTCTGCTATTGGTGCCAATCACTAAAAGAGGCTTTTCCTGCTCCTCATGTCTCCTATGAACAGAATCCATATTCTGCTTCATTGCCAAGCTAGAAATCCAGGTATATTTTTATGTCGGCCTATTTTCTTCCTGCCGCCTGTGTAGCAGAAAAGCACTTTAATGCTGCCAAGTGGAGGAGTCCATGATTCCCGGAAAAGACTGATACTGTGTGGCCCTGGGTTTTCCAATCAACATTGGCAGTTGGCTTGAAAAGTGCCCAGTACTGTGAACTCATTCTGACATGCACAAAGCAGACACTTTAATACTGAAGCAATGCTAGACATCACATTCCAGCGTAGCCGTTAGGAGGCTGTGTTAACCAGTGCATTAGGATGATCTCCGGATTTTCAGAGGAAGGTTTGAAGAACTTTGTAGAAGTTCTGAGCTAAAAAGAGGAAGAGTGACTGCTCATGCCCATTTCATTTCCTCAGAAAAAGTTTGGGAGAACTTTAGACTATAATAAATAGCTGAAAGTCCCACAGCTTCCAAAGACTGAGAAAAATGTCATCACCACAGGGTATCTATAAGAGATGCGAGGAACCCGAGGAACAGGGGAAGAACCCAAGGAAGATATTTGAAACAGCAGGTAATTGCCAGCTCTAGCTGGATTCAGAAATTTTGACCTATGCCTCGGGGTGTGTGTGTGTGTGTGTCTGTTGAGTTTCCAGACATTCAGAGCCAAATGGAGAGAAGCTTAGAATGGCAGCACAAACTCCCTCCAGCTATTTAAGAACTTATTCATGAAAATGATTGCCAATTTGGTATAGAACAGCACAACTTCTTCTATAATATGAATTCTTATACTTATGGTGCCTGACAATAAGCCTCGCTCACCATGATGAGACTTACTAATGATTGGATTTGTGCAAAATTGGACTATAAAGAGGGCAAAAATTGCAAAGGTGCATTCTATGGGAAATGAACAGGTATCTGAGAAGAACGAGAATACTCTTTCCATTTTCACTTATTTCCAAACATTTAAACATCCCGTCCACCTAGCAATTTAAAGGAATGAGGGAAGAATTCTAGCTGTTTGAGGTACATGCTTATTGAGAGTAACGGTTCTTTGCTGATATGGAGAGATATGAGCTGCTGTAATTCTGTTTCTCGTGGCTTTGCATATGAGGAAACTCTGATTTAATGGTCTTCTAAGGCAGTGGCCACCAATCTTTTGGGGCACCAGGGACCAGTTCCATGGAGAGAGGGTTTCCCACCGACCAGAAGGGGCGTGGTTTTGCATGCTACCTGCATCCCACGGATGGGACTTTTCTTGTTTGTGCGGCTCGGTTTCTGGCATGGTGTGGCCCAGTGCCGGTCCACGGACTGGGGATTGGGGACCCCTATTCTAAGGTATGCGGGGAGGATCCTCTGTCTTGAGCTGTGAGAAAATCAACAGTCAACTCTAGCTAACACTGAGGTTGATGGATCAATGATCTAACATGATGAAAGGCCTATAGTCCTAACCTGAACCTGAAGACAAAACTTAATCTCTTTACATTTATGTTCCAATGTTTGATCTGCATTTCTGTCAGCAAGGAGATAGCAACCAAATTTTCTTAAACATTGCCTTTCATTAAATGTTGCCAGGCATAAATTAGGCAACCATCTCTCTGGGATGGTTTAATTTGTATTCTTGTACTGGGAAGAGGGATGGAGTTGATGTCCTCAATTGACTTTTCTAGTTCAATAATTCTATGAAATAAGGCTTCTAAGCTTATCCTTATAAAGTAGGCACAAATAATGTGAACCTCATCACATGCAAACCCACATGTTTGCAGTTCCTTCAATTAACCATGGTTAAACAACCATAGTTTGTTTACTAACTAGGTCAGTATTCTGTAAGAAACATATACCCAAGTTTCCCTCAGAGAATATCAACTATCACACCCACAGAAGTTAACTGTTCAAAGAACAAGCCTTTTTCCTTTTTAATGTGCTGCTTCTGAACTCTGTGTTGGTAAGGTGGATCATAGTAATCTCAGTTCAGATAGTTGGCCCCACCCTAAAGCAGCTTTCTATGCACTTCTGTTCCACTGTAAAAAGCATCTTGAGCCTGAAGCTGTATGATCTTTGTTGTGTAATATTTGAGAGGACAATCAGTTTGTTCCCTTTCTCTGGGTCATACCAAAGACAGCTGCTTCCTGCTTCCATCAGTCTGTGATCAATTGGTCAAAACCACTTTTGTTGGATCAGCAAGATTCATAATGATTCAGAACATTCTGAAGGCATTCACATGTGTTCTGGAACTGAGACAAGATGACCGAATCTAATTCATGTACTTTAAGACTTCTCGTGAGGTTTAAAACAGTTTAGCCATAATAGGTTTCCAGCAAGGAATTCTAGGAACTGATGAGGTTAAAAATGGCATCCTAGCCACTATCTTACTGCTTTTTTGCTGAGAAACTTTTTCTGTGTAACTCAGCTGAAAGTAGATATCATCATTTCCCTCTAAAGTCACATAGATCAGATGAAGAAAAGAGCCTAATGTGGTACTTGAGAGATCAAAGAATTAATCTTTTCCTTGCCTATTTTACCTCACAGATAAAATGGTTTGGTACATAGACTGATTTTTAAAAAATACTTCAAAAATATAAAAAAATATTTCTAAAAATGTATTCAAAATTTAACATGGGAGGTACATAATACAAATGATGTTGCTTTTAAAAGATTCAAGGGAAAACTAGCACTTTCTTAGTAGACATTAATAACTTTTTAAATCAACACCTTTAAATAATATTGGTGAGAGTATGACAGTTAATGGGAACTGACAGATTATTGCTATAGTATAAACACTCGTAGCCTGCTTGCCCCCAATTTCATTCCTCAGGGTTCTGTGCAGAAAGAGAGACTATGAGCACAAGACAGAAACCATGGCAAAAACTCCTTTGTAGCACAGAAATGATCTCTAAGGTTCAGACAGAGGTTCTAAAGGTGCTTTTTCCAGACAGCAACTGGACTGTCTTTTTTTTTTTCCCCTTTGAAAACATTTTCTTCAGAACATCCAAACGTCTTGGATTAAAAGTGAAATATTTTCAAAGGAAAAAAAAAAGCCAAGAAAGTCCAGTTGCCTTTTGGAAAAAGCACCTTTGGGGCAACCATAATCAGGAGGATGGAGAATCACATTCAGAGGGGCAATTGAATGTACCTGTGGTAAATGACATGAGCTGGAATAGATACAGAATACACAATATACATCAACTCTTGTTCATTGCAAATAAAGATTTTTTTAAAAAAATTATACTGTAGCTGACTTTCCATTCAAGAGAATATTTTGAAATAAAGCAATTTACCATAGCAATTATTGATGGAGTAAATTATTTTTTATTCTGTTTAGAATCTCTTTCTCCTTCTGCACAGAAGCCTGGGAAATGAAATTTGGGGATGAGCAGGCTAGGAATATTTGTATTATTACAATGCCATCACTCCTATCAACAATCATATTCCCATCAATATTATTTACCATAGCAGTGATTGATGAAATAATTATTGTAGTTGAAAAAATGAGCCATGGACTGGAGAGAGAGAGAGGGAGAGAGAGAGAGAAAGAGGGAGAGAGGGAGAGAAAGAGAGAGAGAGAGAGAGAGAGAGAGAGAGAGAATATCAAAAGAACTTGTCTGGGACAGCGGTGGACATTATGGTAGGATCGGTTTCTTATGGATATTATTATATTGACATTCTGCCTTAGAGGAAGTACAGTGTTAGCCATTGGGTCCATTCAAATTGATGTGTTCTGCATTCAGCTTACTGTAGCATTCATCCAAATAGATAAATGCTACAGTAAGCTGTGGAGAAATAGTAATTTTCTTATTTTGCAGTTATTTAAGAACATTTACTCTGATGTATTGTGTTTCATTTCAAAGGCAGTTTTTCCCTGTGCACATTCTCATCTCTGTCATAGTCCATTTCATATATGTCTTGAAAAAAGTGCCTAATGATTATAAAAGTTTATACCATGTAGGAAATCAGCTGTATAAAAGCATGTTTTGTTGCTATAGAGAAAAGCTAATAAAAATATTATTCTAGAATGAATGGGATTTTAGCTAGTGTGTCTGAAACTTTGTAGAGTTTTTCTTCTATAGCAGGGCTGTCAAACGTGTGGCCTGTAGGTCAGATGCATCACGCACTGGCCACACCCATGGCCCGTTTAGCGAAGGGGGAAAAGTCACAATATCTCATGAGATGATGCCGTGATGTTTGACATCCCTGTTGTATAGTATTAATATAGAATTCTTATCCTAGTTTTACCACTGTAGGTTTCATAAAACACATGATTTTTGTCCACAGGTAATTTCCTGCCACAAAGCTTCCGAGGTGGTTCAGGAGTATCCCTGCTGATCATTTATCTTGTGACCATTGCGTCATTTTTGCTATGGATCATCATTGTTGCTGTGATGGCATCAAAATGTATGTCTTCTGAGTCAAAAGCTGGATCATCTATCTCCTTTCTAAAATAGCAGATCTTGGATGTGAAGAGAAAGAAAGAGGATAGGGTACAATTTGGTGCCCTACGTACCAGATTAGTATGGAAGATCAACCTCATAGTATACCTTCAGATGTGTTAAGTCTGCATTTTCCACAATTCCCCCCCAGCTTGGGGAATTTTGGGAGATGAGAGACACCTTTACTAAAAAAAATGCTAGTATCCCAGTTATGTTTTCAATTATATGTACATTTGAAAATAATTTATTTTTAGAGAGTCAAATCACTAAACAGCTCTGGTGGCCTAGAGGTGGAGCTCTCGCCTCACAATCAGGAGGCTATGAGTTTGATCCTAGGTAGAGGGTAATATTTGGAATAGACTCTTGCTTGAGCAGGGGCTTGGACTAGATGATCTCCAAATGTGCCTTCCAATTCTGTTACTCTATTCTATGAAATATATTGGCTAAAAACTATTACTCAGTTTTACATAAGACGTAGCTGTTTTGTCACTGAAATATTTGCATAGATATTATCAGTTATTGCTATCATCTCTGGTTATTAGCCATGCTGACTGGAATTGATTGGATGGAGCCCAACAAAATACCTCACTTCTAATCCAATTTAGTTTGTGTTTGATGAAGTTTGGGGAAGGGAGGAAGAATATTTGCTTTTTGTGACTACTGATCTCAATGTCCTGATTGAAAAAAAAATACTATAGGAAATAATGTGGGGGTTTTGCTCAGGTCCCAATACAGCCTCTTGATTATGGACATTCTTTTCCTGTCATGCGATTCCCAAATTGAACACTTCACATGAAAGCCTTTATTTAGAACCTCACATATGGTGGCCGACCGCCATCCCTTCTCACATTTTTCTCTATAAATTTTAAAACACTTCACTCCATAAGCTAGCTATTTATTAGAGATACTATTGGCCGCTCTTTTTAATTAGAAATGTTGAATACAATTGTATTAAATGTAAACATTGTCCTTTTCTTAGTGAGCCTTGTGTCTTCTTCCATGGATGCATCTTATTCATTGACACCTCAGATTTTTTTAGCTGTCACTCAGATTCTCTTTGCTTGTCACCCTTTCATCTTTACCAAGTCTTGTTCCTCCTAATTGTAGAAGGAATACTACCTCCATGCTAGCAAAAGACAATCTGAAATATAGACTAGGAAATATTGAACTGGAGAAATTTGGTCAATAATTGTACCTTTTTATTATAACAATCTTTATGTAAGACAGTGGACTGATAATGTGGAGTATAGATTTATCCTTTAAGAAGACAACAATTTGAAAAACATCAGAAATGTATATTATTTTCTGTTATAGAGTTGAGATCATTCCCCTTTAACTTTCATAGGAAACCACAATCTATTGCTTATAATTAATTGATCGCAGGCAGTTACAGATTTCTTTGTTCTTTCTCCACTCCCACTGCTTCATTTGACTAGTCTAGGCTGGTCCGATTGCAGTGGTGCTTATAATTAATTGATCACAGGCAGTCCATGCTAATGAGGCTGCTTATCTCTCAAAGTGAAAATCAAACTAATTCATTTCAAGTTGACTAGTCTTGGCCAGGTTAAATATTTCACATAGATTGAAGTGTAATTGGTTTGTCTCCCTGAGTAGTGCATACCCAGCTACTGTAAATTATAATAGATGATTTGTGGCTTAGCGTATAATTGTTGTGCTAACCTGGACAGTTATGGTTCATCCAGGTAACCATGGTTTGATGAAATGTCTGAATTCAGTCATCCTATTCCTTCAGATTCTAAGATTTCCAAGGAACTAGAAGAGCTGCGTTTGAATCAAACTTTGCTGACTAAAAATGGTAATAATTCCATGTGTGTGTGTTTGTGTGTGTGTGTGTGTGTATATTACAAAGATCACATTTTAAAAGAATAATAATTGAAACAGCTAACCACTCATATTCATGTGTGCAGAAATATTTTGTAAGTAACTGCAAAAGTAGACTTACATGAAAGGGGAAAGATGCAAATAAACAGTCTTTTGGGAAAACATATTTCCTATATTTCACCACTGAGTTCCAGAAAAACAATGAAAAAACATAATACAACCTGTTTTGCTGTAAGCAGTGTAGTCTTGCACAGCCAGAGGGCCTTCAAGATGTATGGATTTCAACGATCAGAATTCCCTAGCCCGTATTCTAGAAATTGTTTCTACAGATCTGGATGGTATTCACTTTAGCAAAGGCTATCTTATGATAGCCAATGAAGTTTCATAGTGATAATAGTAACTACAATACAACTAAAATGCAGCATTTCACAAAACATTCATATATTTTCCTATTTCTTGGCAAGATATATTGATCAGAAATTAATGATTGTCCTTTTAATGGGTCTGGACAGTGGACATTTCCAATTCTGAATTCATTAAGATGTGTACACATAGTATTTATACAAGCTAACAGTACATTTATGTTGAGATTTCTAGAATAGGCTAGCTTTTCTGTGTATCCATTCTATTTTACTATCATAAGTTTGTTAGGCCTGAACCAGGATCTCCCCAGATATTATTGCTTTTATTGAGAAAAAAAACCCTCCCATAAGCATTCAATTTCTTGTTTTGATAGCAATAGCCATAGCACTTAGAATTACATACCACTTTACAGTGCTATACAGCCCCTCTAAGCGGTTTACAGAGTCAGCATATTGCCCCCAACAATCTGGGTCCTCATTTTACTGACCTCAGAAGAATGGAAGCCTGGGGGGAGTTGAACTGGCAAAATGCAGGCAGCCGGCAGGCAGCAGAAGTACCCTGCAGTACTGCACTCTAACCATTGTGCCACTGAGGCTCATTACAAAGAACTTAATATCTTTAGAGAAAAAGCTCTGGGTCTTTTGGGAAAATTTTCCAGTGGGGTTGGGTCTATACATTTCTGCTGAAGCTAATCCTGACCACGTAGGGGTTTAAAGTGATAGAGCTGCCTTATAATTTCCAGTAAATCCATATATTGTACATTATCTGCCTGGCAAAACATTAAACTTTGAACTACTGTTAAGTCCCTCAGGCTAATATTCTGTCTTTTTAGGTCTCAATTCAAAGGAGCAGTTGCAGCAGCTCCACTCCCAACATAATTCTTACGGTATGCATTAGCTTCATCTTATGTCTGATATTTCAACTGAAGTTTCTCATCGCTTCTTTCCTTCCTTGTGCCAAGCTCCATGAGTTATTTATTTTTGTTCTCCCAACTATCACAACATATTGTTTTGGCTGCTGTGGGAAACCATATTTTGTTCAATGTCTGGGGGAGGGGGTGAAAAATTCGAGATGATGCTGTGACCATACAATCAAAGGCATGTAACCACTACCTTAACCTTTTTTTTTTGGTCTCTTTTATCCTATTGGATGCCTTGGCTGATAAGGAGAAAATGATTAATGGTCCAATTGAACGAATTAAGCAATTTGTCAATGGGAGTTCCTGCCTACTTAGGATGGGGGTGGGGGTGTTTCTTTTCTGTGAGAGGAGGAAATTGGCTTATTGGATAAGGTCTGAGACTAGTGTACTTCAAGGATTGCTGGAGGGAGAAGAAAAAGCAATTCATATTTTTAAACTTGGGACATAGAGAAACATCTGCACTGTTGCTCTGAGAAATTTTAAGCAGAACTTACAATTCTGTTGCTTATTACAGAAGTGGGCTTCCATTGTGGTCTCGACATTTAATTTTAAATCAAACCATTATCCTGTAGCACCCCTTATTTCTTCCTGAATAGTGAAATTTGGAGGTCTTAAAAATGCCTTTTCTTCCAAAGTAGCAATTACAGTTTACTGTGTCTTTTTCTTCTTCTTCAGAATCATCAGTAAATAACACCCTAAAAAAGCTGGACGAAGAACACAATGGCCTGAAAAAGTTTGGTAAGTGGTCTTTATAGGAAGATATGGGCTTGCTTCTGGTGAGAAAGGAAAATAAGGTGGATACATGAGCTTGCTAATAGGGAATTTTATGAATAAAATTTACTTTGGATTGTTCCAAATTGAAAACTGTGAGTCATTCCTGGCAACATCAGTCTAAGTTCCTAGATCCTGTTCATTGTATCTCTATTGTTTTTTCTTTCTTTCTGAAGGACTCTTCTGACAACTTTCCCTATCAAGGATGGTCCTACATTAAAGTGAAGGATCTGCCTTGGGTGATTGATCAATGGGAGGGGCGAATGGGACACATCAGTATCAACAGTCCACCAATTCCTCTCCTGTCCTCTTGTGTTAGAAACCAGTTGTGTGAATCTTTCATATAAACAGACATGTTTTCCAGGAACGCTTTTCAAAAAAGCATTTTGGCCAAACATAAGTACTCATATTCTGATCATCAATAAGGAAATTAATGGCATCTTCAGCAAAGTAGGATCCCCTCCCCCGGCAATTCATAAGTTTTCCAGGCCAATAAGAAAGTAAATATAAAAAATAAAATAAATAAGTGGAAAACATTCATGAAAGATGGAATAAATTGGTCAAAGGATATTAATTTTTCTGGGTTTCTTAAATAAATATGTGTTTTTATTTAAAATGGCCACAGATTATCAATATATTAATGCTGTTTAACATGCGAAGGAAGCATAAATGAGATAGCAACCGAATAAACAAGAAACTGTTCAGTGTTAAATGTCTTCTAAATATATTGAAATTAGAGTATTGAAAGTATTGTACCGGTTGAAAGTCCAACAACTTTGGTTTTAGCACAACTGCAAAAGTCCCAATTGACGAATTACTGCCACAAGCATATACTGCAGAGGTGAATTTAAGGGATAGAATAATGATATTTTCCTCTTTTCCATGCCTACATATAAACATCTGTACATGTAGAAAATGGCATGAGAAAGAAAATATAAAACAAAAACCATTTTTCATGCCTTCCCAGTGTTGATGAGAGGAAATATATGGAAAGCAATAAGATTATTCAATATCTAAACCAGGAGTTCTCAGACTTTGTGGTAATATAATCTCTGAAAATAAACAAAGGAACCTCTGTGACTCCCACTTAAATAAAACTAACAAATTCATGGACATTATTTGGGCAAAAATATTTTAAAAATTATTTTTAATCTATATATCAAATAAAACAATGATACAATCTTATAAATTTATAATTTTTTTACTAAAAATAAATAAACCAAAACCTTATGTTTAACAGGAATTATAAACTTACTTAATTTTGCATAATTGCTAAAATTTATGGAGTGGGAGTTTAGACAGTCACACTAATTTTTCATTACATGTTCATTTTGAATTCATATTGTGTGATTTCAATCATGACAGTGATTCAATTTTGAATGTGTGTGCTATTGGATTTCTGGCCCCAAACATGGTGCTGGGTCAGAAGCTACTCTGGACTTTTTTTTGACAAGATTGGTTTCGGCAAGATGATTTTCCAGCCATAGTAAAAGCAAGTTCTGCCAGATATCCATCTTTGCATTAATGGAAAGATGGAAGATGATATTGCTTGTCATCAAAATCTCAGTGACAGGAAGAATGGCTTTAGACTTATCTTCTCTTGAGCTTGCTATCTGACCTTTATATATATGTGTGTGTGAATATAAGGAAAATATTATTTCTTTCTTTGAATTCTCCTCTGCATCAATATATCAATGACTAATCTTCAATCTGGTGCCCATCAGATCTCCTGGGACTGAAATTCTTCAACGACCCTGTCAATAGAACATGATAGGTTTCAACATATCTGAAAGATACAGATTGGGAAAAGTTTTGTTATATCTAGTTTTATTTACATTTAATTGTTTTCCTGTAAATTTGTACTTTTAGTGGATGAAAAAATACAACAGACAAACACTCAAAATGAAGGAAATGGGAAGGCAGTCATTGAATTAATCAATGCAGTTTATCGGATTAACGGTAAGATACAATTCCTCTGTCAATTCATAAGATGTTACTCCTTCAGAGTTAAGCACTCAATCTTGTAATTGAGGCTGTGTTGAAGAAAGCTTGTGTTTGATACTAGGCAGTTGATGTTTGAATTAAACAATACATGTACAAATGAAAGTTCTCCTACAAGTTTTGAACTGTAGCCCAATTTTACCACATGCCTCAAAGCATTGGTTACAGCACTATATATGGTATTATTATGCATCTTCTCTGGCGATTTAAAGGGGATAGATACAAACTAATATATTTGGATCCAAATTCTAATCAGGGCCTCAGTCAAACCACCCATAGAACCTAAGGATAAAAAATAATAATAATCCACCCTGGAATCCCCAAGTCAACTATGGGGGACCAAACTGTAGTTTCTCCCTGACCACATAATGGTAGCAGCATTGGCAAGCTGAAAAGAGAATTATCTAATTATGCAAAAAACAGATGGTGATATCCTCCATTCCCAGATTGCGACTGCTTTGAGATACAAACCAGGTCTAATGCATAATCTCGAGTGTGTGCGTTAGGCTCTTGGTGACTTAGGTTAGGCCCGTGATTGTCCTGGTGGTGAGGAACTCCTGGACCGACCCACACTTCTTGCCATCTGTGGGCAGATCAAAGTCCCAAGAACTATAAGCCATCTGGCAAACAAATCTAACACTTTGGGTAGGGATACTGTTGAGCAACAGGGAGGCCAATATAGCAGCTAAAACCTTAGAGGCCATGTTTAACCAAGAGGTCTCATATTTGATTATCTGCAGCACAGAATATCTGAAAGCCATTAAGGTGTTTTTTTTTAAAGCTGCAAATACAGTATTGCAGTTTTTGCCAATCAGGACCTGGGCCTAGTCTTTATTTTCAACACTGTATAGACCAGGAGCGTCAAACACAAGGCCTGCAGGCTGAATCCCGTCCACGGGGTGCTTAGATCTGCCCCGTGGGCCCACCCTGGAAACAGTGAAGGACCAGCCTGTGGTGCCTCTGCTAGTGAAAATGGAGCTCAGGAGGGTTGTGCGCAACCCACCTGGGCTCCATTTTTAGCCATGACGGCCTCCTGCAGCCCTCTGCCAGTGAAAACGGAGCTCTGGAGGACCGCATGCAGCCCTCCAAAGCTTCATTTTTGCTGGCAGAGGGCTGCAGGAGGATCTCCTCCAGCCACACCCGGGCCACCACAAGTGCCCCCAACACGAGTGATGTTGAGCTGGCCACTGTTTAGATTTACAGACAGGACCAAACTATCACAAGCATTGGTAATATTGGTTTAATTACTAATATGTGATTATCTGTCTTTAAATATCTACAACTGTTTTATAGCTTCAGGCTGCCAGGTATGTCCAAAAGGCTGGCTGCTGAACAAAGAAAAATGCTACTATTTCCAGATGGGGAGTGAAGCCTGGTCTCAGGCGCAGAGGAGATGTGAGGCTTATGGAAGCCAACTGGTTGTCATTGATGATTGGAGTATGCAGGTAATAAACTGCTCCAGTTTAATAATCAAACATTTTCAATTTCTCAAACTTAAACCACGCACATTGTCTCAAGGAGCACATTTGTGGGAAGGAAACCTCAGCTGTTGAGAATCGAACAGTGGTGCCATGTTGGCTCTCATTTTGAAGCTATTAGAGGTAAGGAGGAAGGAGAAGGGCAAAACTTGCACAAACCTCCTGCTTCAGTAGGGAACAAGGGTCAGAAATCTCCTTCACATCTGAAAAGATGGTGGAAAGGGATGTGCACTCCAGGAACAGGACTCCATATCCATACACTGCATTTGTCTTCTTGTTCCTCTGGGAGGAAGCTAATCTGAGTGTCTCATGAGAGAGGCTGTTGGGTGGAGGGCTACTGGTCCTTTGCTTGGCTGCTGATAGTCAATACTAATATGCTGGTGATGAAGATAAATGATATGCAGGTCCCCTTTACAGGATACATTTTTACAGTTTCAAGGAAAGGTGGTGACCCCATTCACAAATTCTTCTGCATTTCCTGTGTCAGATGAGCGAGCACATAGAATAGAATGGAAATGGAATGGGAATAGCAATGGCAATAGCAATAGCAATAGCAATAGCAATAGCAATAGCAATAGCAATGGCAATAGCAATAGCAATAGCAATAGCAATAGCAATAGCAATAGCAATAGCATTCTTTATTGGCCAAGCCACAAGCCAGCCTCCTGAGTTTGATAAACACAGTTATGATATGATTTTGTCTGAGTTCGACACTTTGCTAAATAAAACTCAACAAATGGGGGGAAAAGAATAAATAGAATAGAATAGAACAGAATAGAATAGAATAGAATAGAATAGAATAGAATAGAATAGAATAGAATAGAATTCTTTATTGGCCAAGTGTGATTGGACACACTAAGTAAATAATTATATAATTATGAAGTCCCAAATCCTGCAGAGGCAAATAAAGTATATGGTGTACATTTATTTTATTACATACATGACAATAGAAAGCAGAAGGAAGAAGTAGCAAATAAATTAGGTATGCAGGTGGTAGATAAAGTAAAATACCTAGGGATCTGGTTGACTGCTAGATGTTCGTCGATTAAAAAAGATAACTATGACAAGTTAATAACACAAATAGTTAAAGATTTAGATAATTGGGTCAAATTGCAGTTATCGCTATTGGGATGTATTTCGATAGTAAAAATGAATATTTTGCCAAATTGTTGTTCTTGTTTCAAACAGTGCCAGTCAAGTTGGAAAAGTTTTTTTTTGTAGAATTAAACAAATGTATATCTAAATTTATAGGGCAGAGGGAAAAAACCCAGAGTGAAATATAAATTATTACAGGATGCCAAGAAAAAAGGAGGATTTGGCCTTCCAGATTTTGAATTATATTATGATGCTGCTATAGTAAACTGGCTTAAGGATTGGGTTAAATTAGAAAATAGAAGGTTATTAGTATTAGAGGTTTTGATCTCCAACTTGGCTGGCACACCTTCATGTGGGATGAAAAATCTAAACAACTTTCCTATTTCCAAAGGCACCATGTAAGAAATGTGTTGTTTAATATCTGGGGCAAGATTGAAAAAAACCACTACTACCCAAAGGTTCCATTGTGGCTATTGTTAAGTTCGGGTAATGAGAGGCTGAACCAGGGCATGGGTGCAACAAATACTTTATTAGAATAATAAAGGACTGAACGTGCTTGCCAAGCCTGGAACTGGCTCGCAGCGATCAGCAACTGGTTGGACCCCGCAGCCTGCTTTTATAGCTGGCTGCTGGGGAGAACCAACCAATGAGAGAGAGGGCAACCGCCCCCGCAGCGCGAACGGACCTGGGTGGGAACTTCTTTAAGTTCCAGGGACATAACACCCCTTCCCCCCAGATGCGAACACGCATAGTCTTTAAGGTACGCGGGAGGCTTGTGCTGGCGCCCAGAACGGCGCAACTCTGGGGAGTTGTCTGGTAGATCAGAGTCTGCAAGGGAAGGTTGGACCGGTGGGGTGTCACGAACGCATTCCTCGGTCAGTGCCGGTTCGGGACTCGTAGGGCTGGTCACTGGGGATGTGCTTCCGTTGACTGGTTCGGACTGGTCAGTCATCTGGTGGTCACGGGTCGTGTTCGGGGTCCCCGACTCGGCTGCAGGCGTGAACTGGTCCCTGGAATTGGTGCTGATGTGGGGTTGATGCTGCAGCCCTGTACCGGTCTGCAACCACGAGTCACTGCTAACGTGAGTGCCTTGGCGCTTCCGCAGCTGATCCAGGTGCCTTCTCCAGATTCGGCCATCCTCCAGTCTGACTCGATACGACCTGGGTCCGGTGATGGCCACGATCTCGCCCGGGATCCACAGTGGGTCTCCAGCGAAGTTCCTCGCGAACACGGGTTCCTGTAAGACAAAATGCCTAACCCTAGATGTGGAAGCGAGGGGAGAGTCAGGGCAGTAATGAGGGTGAAGCCTGTCCAATACAGTCCGCAGGCGTCTACCCATCAGGAGTTCAGCCGGGGACTTATTGGTGACTGTGCACGGGGTTGAGTGCTGGCTCAGCAAGAAACGGGAGAGTCTGTGGTGCCAGTCTTCCTTGCTGAACCTAGCTAGAGCTTCTTTAGTGGTCCTAACGGCTCTTTCTGCCAACCCGTTACTGGCAGGATGAAAGGGGGCCGTGAAGATGTGGCGGATGCCCAGATTGGCAGCGAAGCGACTGAACTCGGCCGATGCGAACTGGGGGCCATTGTCGGAAACAATTGAGTCTGGTAGCCCGTGCGTTACGAATAGGCGAGTTAATACCTTGGTGACCGCTTGCGTGGTGGTTGTGGACAGTTGTGCCACGTCAATCCATTTAGAGTAAGAGTCCACGACCACCAGGAACATTTTGCCGTGCATCGGGCCCGCTAGGTCGATGTGAATCCTGGACCAGGGTGCGCTGGCGCTTTCCCACTTGGTGGGGGTGGCAATTGGAGGGGATGGACGGGATTCCTGGCAGGGATGGCAGGAGCTTACCCATCTGATGATGTCATCGTCGAGGCCGGGCCACCATACGTAGCTGCATGCTAATGCCTTCATCCTGACGATGCCAGGGTGGCCTCATGCAACGCCTCCAAAACTCGGGTACGCAGTGAGGTCGGGATGACCACTCATGTGCCCCACAGCAAACAGCCCTGCAAACTGGATAACTCCTGTAGGCGGGTCTTAAAAGGCGTGAATTTGGTTTCAACATCACTGCCCGGCCACCCCCTCCTCACCCAGTCCAGTACCTGGGCGATCGTTTTGTCTGCCTTGGATTTGGCGGCAATGTCAAGGGCAGTGATGGGGAGGTCCAGTTGGGTGACCTCAAAGATAGCATGGACCGGGGCAGGATCCTCAGCTGGAGCAGGTAGGGGGCAGCGGCTGAGGGCGTCTGCGTGAGACAATGTTTTACCTGGACGGTGTATGAGTCTATACGAGTATGCCGCGAGGAAAAGAGTCCACCTCATCATTCTAGGCGACAGGACTTGAGGGGTCTGTTTGTCACCTGCTAGTAGACCCAGGAGAGGCTTATGATCCGTGACCAGCTCGAAAAAGTGGCCAAAAAGAAATTCATGGAATTTCTTCACAGCTGCGACAGCTGCTAAAGCTTCCTTATCGATTTGGCTATAATTGCGCTCTGTTGCAGAGAGCGTCCTGGAAAAAAAAGCGATGGGGGCCTCGGAGCCATTGGGGAGTCTGTGGCTTAACACTGCCCCAATTCCAAAAGGGGATGCGTCCGCTGCTAGCACTAATGGAAGGTTGGGGTCAAACTGAATGAGGACCGCCTCCGACGTGAGTAGTGATTTGACTGCGCGAAAGGCGGAGTCTTCCTTGTGTCCCCAATGCCAAGCCGATTTTTTATCCAAAAGTCTGTGCAGGGGTTCCGCCACAGATGCTTTATGGGGCAGGAACGACGCATAAAAATTCAATAGCCCCAAGAAGGCCTGCAGTTCCGCTTTGGAGGTTGGAGTGGGTGCCTCGTGAATTGCCTTAACCTTGGACTCCAGGGGGTGAATGCCTGAGGTGTCAATTTTATAACCCAGAAAGTCCACCTGTCTAGTGGCAATGGCACATTTTTCTTTTTTTAATTTGAGGCCATGCTGTCTGAACCTCTCTAACACTGCTCGAACTCTCTGGAAGAGTTGGGGTCTGTCCCTGGCCGAGACTAAGATGTCGTCGAAGTAGGGTACTACACCAGGGAGGCCCTGTAAAATCCTCTCCATGAGAGATTGAAAAATGCCTGGGGCAACACTTACGCCAAATTGGAGACGCTTGCACCGGAAAGCACCCCTGTGGGTGACAATGGTCTGGAGTTCCGCTGTTTGGTTGTCAACAGGGAACTGTTGATACGCTTGAGACATGTCCAATTTGGCAAAAATGCTGCCAGGTTCAAAAGTGTGTAATAAATGCTGAATGACGGGCACTGGGTAAGCGCTAACTTGTAAAAACTTATTAATTGTGGTTTTGTAGTCCGAGCAAATTCTCAGGCTACCGTCTTTTTTGAGGGGTGTGACAATGGGCGTCTCCCATTTGGTGAAATCTGTTGGCTCAATGACCCCTTGTTTTAATAATTTATCCAGTTCCGCATCTAATTTAGGCTGAATAGCGAATGGGACTCTACGAGGTTTTAGTCTGATTGGGACTGCTTGGGGGTCAACTGAGAATGAGATAGGGGTACCGTTATAACACCCCAGTTCATTGCTGAATACGTCTGAGTAATCAGCGAATAAGGAGTCAGTGTCAGAGGTTGAGACAGCATGGACTCCTGTTAACCCTAGGCTGAGATGGGGAAACCAATCAAGCCCCAAGAGTGTGGGGAGATTTCCGTTAACTACCACTAGAGGTAGGTGGCCTTTGAAAGTTTTAAAATTAACAAGAAACTTGCCTCTGCCGATTACAGGAATGTCCTTCCCCTGGTAGTCCTTCAGGTTAAACTGGCACTTCTGGAGCCGGTTTCTGGATAGACTGGGCTGTAGTCTCTTGAGGGTGCTCCAAGAGATAATTGAGAGCGCTGACCCCGTGTCAACCTCCATGCGACAAGGTTTACCTTCTAACAAAACGGAGAGAGAGATTTTACTAATGGCATGGCAAGCGTGCTTAGCATGGTGGTGAGTGCGACAGTTCAATACTTGCCTTTGGGGTCCAGAATGTGAAAAGGAAGGGTGCCTTTGTGCCGAGTTGTGAGCGGCTTGACAGACTCTAGAGATGTGCCCCTTTTTGTGGCAAATGTTGCAGGTGGCTCCCTTGAATTTGCAGGTGGTCCTCAGGTGAGATCCACCACAGGATAGGCACAGGGTGATGTGCTTGGGTGGACTGACGCTTTCTTGCTTGGCTCCTACCTGCGGGTTTCTGGCGTGGGCGAGGCGGTGGATGTCGGCCGCATCGCTGGGGTCCTCTTCGATGACCACCTCTTCAGAGTGGACTGAAACTGCACTTTGCTTGGAAGCAGGACCTTGGATTTCGGTGGCTGAGTGTGCTGCCAGCTCTGCTGCCAGGGCTTCCTCGACGGCTTGCGCGAGGTTGAGGTCCTTCCTAGCGAGTGGGCGCCTTTGGAGGTGAAGATCCTTGACTCCGCAGACTAGCTGATCGAGGAGCATGTCCTCCAGGTAGGTCCCAAACCCACAATGGAGAGCTGCAGTCCTGAGGGCAGCCATGTACTGGTTGATGGTCTCTTTGTCTGATTGCTTCCTCATTCGGAAGGTGAACCACCTGGCGATCTGTGAGGGTCTAGGAGAATAGTGGTTAGTAAGGATTTCTAACAGTTCTGTCCAGGGGACATTTTTTAACTCACGTGGAGCCACGAGTGCTGTGGCAGTATCAAAGACGATGGCTCCACAGTAGATCAGGAAATATGATTTTTTCCGGTGCTCCCCTGCATCAGCCAGCCCAATTGCGTCGATGTAATGGTTAAAGCGATTCTTGTATGACTCCCACTTCTCCTCATCCGGCTTGAACGCTGGGAAAACTGGGTTGGAGTTCATGATGACAAAAAAATCAGGTTGGATAATCTGTTGAGAAAATCTCTCTGAGGCAGCAGCAGGAAGGTTTTTTGTGCCTGTGGCAGGCAAGTGACTTCAGCTCTGGAGAGGCTTTTCACAACTCTCTCTCTCTCTCTGGGTTAACATGAGGTTAGGCTGCAACGGTCGTTGGCAGCGTTTTGAAATTCGCGCCTGCGTGGGCGTCAGTGACTTTGTAATACAGCACCGCGCTGTACTTCTTGGGCGGAAATTCAAATGACAGCCGTTTGAATTTCGCGCCTAAAGAAACGAGCGGCTGCGGCTCGCAGCGCTTCACTTTCCCTGTAGCTTGGCTAACTAGCGGCTACAGACGCTTCTCACTCTCGCTGTTTGCTGACCGCTCTCTCTGGCTGCGGATCAGCGTTCGCTCTCGTTGCCTGCTGATCGTTCTCTCTAGCTGCGGATCAGCGTTTGCTCTTATTGCCTGCTGATCGTTCTCTCTGGCTGCGGATCAGCGGCTAGTGATTCAGCGGTTGCATTGTGCCTCTGGTAGCCATCCCATCCTCGTCGCTAGAGTTAAGTTCGGGTAATGAGAGGCTGAACCAGGGCATGGGTGCAACAAATACTTTATTAGAATAATAAAGGACTGAACGTGCTTGCCAAGCCTGGAACTGGCTCGCAGCGATCAGCAACTGGTTGGACCCCGCAGCCTGCTTTTATAGCTGGCTGCTGGGGAGAACCAACCAATGAGAGAGAGGGCAACCGCCCCCGCAGCGCGAACGGACCTGGGTGGGAACTTCTTTAAGTTCCAGGGACATAACAGCTATTTACACTGAGAGCAGTTATACATCCAAATATATTGGATTCTAAAAATATTGTTAGGTATAAAGATTTATTATATGACACTGGAGAGCTTAAAAATAGGAACCAAATACAAATTCAAGGAAAGGAGATAGCATGGTGGCCCTTTGCACAAATACAAACCCATTATAAAAAAGATAGGGAACAATTTGGCTAGAAGAATTAGATAAAATATGGCTAGGAGAGGAAAAGAAAACAATTAGTAAAACATATAAATATCTTTTGGACTACAAATTAAAAGAAGAAACAGTTACAGAATCTGTGATAATTTGGGCTAAAAACGTGGGTTATAGTATTGAATTAGATAAGTGGGAACACATTTGGCAAACAAATTACAAATTAACCATGTCAGTCTCGTATAAAGAAAACTTATATAAAATGGTTCATCACTGGCACCTACCTCCTGCGAGACTGGCTACGATGTTCCCCAACCTACCACCCAACTGTTGGAAATGTAACTACGCACAAGGAACATATTTTCACATGTGGTGGACTTGCCCATGTGCTCAGAAATTTTGGAGAAATATTAGAAATTGGATTTTAAATATAACAAAACAAAATTTAAAACTTGAACCCGAAACCTTTCTGCTAAGTATGATAGATTCAAACATGGAGAAAAAATATCAATATCTAATTTTGCACATCATAACTGAAGCCAGAATAACCTATGCACAAAACTGGAAACTGTCTTCCATTTCTTCAGAGGATAGGGTAATTTAAAAAATACATGAATGCATTGAGATGGATAGCCTAACCAAACTGTTAAAAAATAAACAAGATAGTGACGAAATATGGAACATTTGGCATGAGTGGTTAAAGAAAAGGTAATATTTGATATTTGGATAAGTTATGGAAACGACAGAAGACGTGCATTTAATCACAAACTATATAGAGAAATTAAAACATTAAAAGAATGAAGGAGTTATGGTAACAGGGCAGATCATGTCAATGATAAAGATAAAGAAAAAAAAACATTGATCAATATATGCTGTAAAATCTACATACATACATACATACATATATATATACATACATACATACAGTCTGTTTTAAATGTATGTCAAATAAATGTTTTTTCTAGAATAAAATAAAATATTATAAAAAAAAAAGAAAAGAATGTATCATTGGAAGTATTTCTCCAGTGCCCCAGTTACTTTAGGTGGACTATCCTTTTTATATGCCTACAGATGACTGGAAAGCATTTGGTTGTAAATGATGTAGGACAACAAGTCACAAGTCATTATAAACCTCTGTTAAGGTTCTCAGCTAAGGTAACTAATCATATTTTAGGCTATTCCTCACAACCCAGTTAAAGTACTCTCTTTCAGTTCTGAAGTTGACAGAAAACTAGACAAATAATATATTCATTTTTGCCATTATTACTATCTTATTTCTTTATCCTGTATTATGAAATGATAGTACTGGTAATCCTTGACTTACAGTTGGGCCCAAAATTTCTTTTGCTAGGCAAGGCAATGTTAAGTGAGTTTTGCTCCATTTTACAACCTTCCTTGCCACTGTTGTTAAGTGAATCATTCAATTGTTAAGTTAGTAACATGGTTGCTAAATGAATCTGGCTTCCCCATTGACTTTGCTTGTCAGAACATCACAATAGGTGATCACATGATCGCAGACACTGCAACTTTCATAAATATATAAAAGTTGCCAAGTGTCTGAATTGTGGCCATGGGGACTCTGGCACAGTTGTAAGTGTGAAACCTGGCCATACGTTTTTTCAATGCTGTTGTAACTTCAACTGTTTGTGAAACAAATTGTTGTAAGTCAAGGACTGTGTATATCCTGTTTTCAGGTATACATGGCATATTAATCACAACTATTGGTTAACTTCCCAGCTCTGCTCTTCTCATTTCTTGATGTCACCAAATGACAGGAAACACCATTGAGATTGGTACGTGTGTTTTAGAGAACACTAAATCCATTCTTTCAAAACGCACTCCCTTCCTTGATATGTGCCCAAACAATAGGGGTGCACAGTTTTAAATTATTAAATTTATACTCCTAGTTGCATATAAGCGACTACAAACCAGATAATCTGCAGGTTTGCACAAAATTGTTGACCAATTTTGGAAAACGATTGGACAGTTCACAAAAATTGGTCTATTCCATGTGGTATACTATAGCTGAACTGTTTAAACGGCCGTATTCTTTTTCAGATTTTTCTTACTCAACATACAAAAGGCAAGACATTCTGGATTGGTCTAAGTGATATCCACTCTGAAAACAAGTTCGTTTGGGTAGACAAAAGTACTCTATCATTTAAGTAAGTCTCTGCTAAAATTTTTCCTTTTTTTCTCATTTGTTTATAAATACTAGGGAATTTCTATACTAGACTTTCAAACTATGCAATCAGACTGCCTCTGTCAACATACTTTTTAATTGACTGCAGGTAGTCCTCAGCTTACAACCACAATTGAAAAAATATTGTTGTTAAGCGAGAAATTTGTTAAGTGAGTTTTGTCCCATTTTCTTGTCACATTTGTTAAGTGAATCACTGTAATTGTTAAATTCAGGGGTGGAATTCTACCGGTTCGACAGAGTTCTATAGAACCGGCTGTTATGATTCTGTGCAGCTCAGAGAACCAGCAAATCATACCTCTGGCTGGTCCCATCCCTCTCCACCAGCCCCTCCCATTCCCACCCAGTCATTGCTGACTGTGTTCTTCCCTGCTCAGCCACTCCTTAACATTTTTCATTTTTCTATATTTCCCCTCCCAAGGATCAGCTGTTCTGATGATCAGCTGTGCTGGGATCCCTCTCACTGTCTTACTGCTTTGCCCAGGAGGCTTCCCTGAGGCCCAGGAGGCAGAAAGAGGTGTAGAGGGGGCGGTGCAGGGGGGTTTGCTCCATTTTTTGTCTTCCTGGGCCCCAGCAAAGCCTTCTGGGAGCAAAAACACCCCCAAGGAAGCTTCCCCGAGGCTCAGGAAGCCCAAAAATGGGGGGTATGCTGCAGAAGGAGGAGGAGGAGGAGGGGTAGTATCATGTTTCTCAGAAAATAAAGCCAGGCCTTATTTTCTTTTGACCCCCGAAAAAATGGCTAGGCAATCTTTTCAGGGGTGAATTAATTTCTCCCCTCCCCGCGCACCCTCACCTAGAGCACCCTGTGGGCAGCCATGCCTTGCAACCAGCCACTCCTAATGGCCGATCATGGTGGAGTGCGAAGGGCTCCCTAGCCCTCCCAAGTGCCTTTGCTGCAGACCTGGATATGGTGCTGGTTGCAGGCCGGGTCAGCAGGCGGGCGGTGGCAGCATGGATGTCGGCCTCAGCAGGGCACTTTACATTATGAGACCTTCAGCGCCCACCACTGCTGCTTCCTTCAATGCCATTGCTTTCCCTTCTGCCCGTGCTACTGCCACATTTGGAGTGCTGCGCATTCCTCCACCAGCAGCGTTTCAGCTGCTTCTCGGACAGGGGAACCACCTCTGTAGCTTCCACAGTTCCCGCTGGCGGTGGTGCTGTTGTTGGAGATGGCGCTGGCAAGAGAGGCGCCAGTGCTAGCAGGAACCATGGAAGCTACTCCCCTGCCTGAGAATCAGCTGAAACGCTTCCACAGTTCCCGCTGTTGCTGCCCTGGATGTTGGAGATGGCACTGGCGAGAGAGGTGCCAGCACTGGCGGGAACCATGGAAGCTACAGAGGTGGCTACCCGCCCAAGAAGCAGCTGAAACGCTGCCTGTGGAGGAATGCGCAGCACTCCAAACGCGGCAGCAGCACAGGCAGAAGAGAAAGCAACAGCGGCAAGCGCCGAAGGTCTCGCGATGTAAAGTGCCCTGCCGAGGCTGACATCCTCACCACCACTGCCCGCCCGCTGACCCGGCCTGCAACCAGCACCATACCCGGGTCTGCAGCAAAAGCACTTAGCAGGGATAGGGAGCCCTCCCTGCTCCGCCATTATTAGCCATTAGGAGAGGCTGGTGGCGAGGCGTGGCTGCCCACGGGGTGCTCCTAACAGCAAGTCCCCCCCTATTTTTCTTGTTTTAAAATAGGCCTAAATTTGGGGGATGGGGCTTAATTTCATCTTATGCCTAGAAAACATGCTGGGACTTCCTATGGGGGGTGGGGGGCGGTAATTGTTGAAACATGGTAGTAGTAGTAGTCATGCCTACATAGCCACAGCTACAGAATCAGTGGTTAAAAAAGTTGAATCCCACCCTGGTTAAATTAGTTAACAGAGTTGTTAAGAGAATCTAGTTTTCCCATTGACTTTGCTTGTCAGAAGGTAACAAAAGGGGATCACATGACTCCGGGACACTGCAACCATCATACATGTGAGTCCGTTAGCAAACACTTGAATGTAAATCATGTAGCCGTGGGGATGCTACCACAGTTGTGTGAAAAACGGTCATAAGTCACTTTTTTCAGTGATGTAACTTTGAACAGCCACTAAATGAATTGGGTGATTGTGCCTTTATGCAACTAGGGCCCTGTTTTGTGCTGGTTTCATTCATTGATAATGTGCTGGTCTCTCTCTCTCTCTCTCTCTCTCTCTCTCACACACACACACACACACACGTGTGTGTGTGTGTGTGTGTGGTCTACTGGGTCATCCACTATCATCAGATGGGCCATTTTCTGGCTCTTTCTTCTGCTGTTTCTATCCTGCTGCAAGTTTATTGGAGACCCGTATCTTACACTGATAGGTAAGAATTGCTGCATAGGCACTCATACAGGAAAAAAAAAATCACTGTTCCGTGTAGAACTGTGCCCGCATGGATATCTTTCCCACTTCTGTGCTTTCCAAAGCATTTTCTTCCCACATATTGCTGCAATAATGGAGAATATAGGTAGCTCAGGTTGACTTATTGGATTCTTCATGCTTGTTCACCAATTTACCGGTGCTCACTAATTAATTTTGCCATTTATATAATCTCTTGAATTTCTAATTGCAGAGCTTGGAATATAGGAGAACCCAACAATAGTGGACATGGGCAAGACTGTGTAGTGATGAATTCTAATGGCCGATGGGAAGATCGTGAATGTGGAAGAAGTGTGGATGGCTGGATTTGTGAAAAGCCCTGGAAGTGCTAATTGTATCCAGTAAGAGGAAGACTCAACATTCAGCATTCGTGACCCATGTGTATTATTTTGAGCTTTCTTATTTTTATTGTCTTTTATTAATTTTCTGTATTTTGCTTTACTGAAGACTATCAATATATGGTACAGCATAACTATTTCGGTAAACAAGTCTTTGAATAAACCGAGAGCTCAGCCTACAACAAGAATGGGCAGGCTTTAGGTGTGCAGGAGCTATTGGGGTTCGTTTTACCAGAACAAGCTGCAAAAATAGGAGTTCAGGACTACAGACAAAGAATTGAGGAACAAGTTGTGCTTCTGAACAGAGAACTAATGGATTGGCTGTCAGCAGCACAGTTGGAGCTTACACACAAATTATTTCACACATTGACGTTCCCCTCTTACAAGCACTGCTGATTTTAGCAACCTCACAGGACAACAATTTTTATTCAATTATCATGAGTCACAAACTTCTACTAATTTGCTAGGTAAATTACTTGGAAATCAGCTAATATGCCCAATTTCTGCTCATCCTGTGTAGAAAACAAAAAATCGAAGTTGTCTAGTTTAGTAAAGTTTAATCTTTGCTAGCCTAGGAAATTTTACTTGATGTAAATATCTAACACCCCCAGTCCCTCCACCTGCAACACCAGAAGCAGTGCCAGCCTTGCCATTTACCTACATGACCCCCCCCAGCCCCCGCCCCAACACCCGTCTCCCCTCTTTTGTTGGAGTTGATTGAGTTGTGAGTCAAGCTGTATTTGTGAAGCCTCTTTGAGGCACCTCCCCCCCCCCTTCCTGGTCGTGAGTTTGCCTCTGGACTGTTTGGATGGGGTCCCCAACACACTCTTGCCTGTCTGCTCCCCAGTGGTCCAGGCAGTTGCTACTCCCCCCCCTTCTGCTCCTGGTGACAAATCTGCAAGACCCCCAAACTTACAGCACAGCCGCAGTACTTTTTTTAAAAAAATCTTGCATCACATGCTATACCTGCAGCATCATTGCTTCTCCCTGCCACCTGATTGGCTGGGGGCTGTTTGTCCTGTGCAGCCAAAGGCCTGGGTCAAACAGTGTTTGGGTGAATGGGCAGGAATGAAAGGTGAGAGGCGGAGGCCCATTGGCTGTGGAAAATGGTCGGGGTAGGGCCAGAGGAGGAGGAAAGATGGCTGTAAATGGGCTGAGGCAGGTGGCTGGGCGCAAAGGAGGAGTGGCCAAGTGTCCCTGCCTAAATGTGTCATTCCCTGCTTCCAACTGCAGTATCCCAACTGCAATCAAAACTTTTACTTTTAAAAAAAGGATTCAAAAATCCCTTGAATCAAGCTTAATTCCTGTGACTCCTATCTAAAAGAACCGACAAACTTGAATAGTATCTTCATTATTTCAGTAAGATTTAAGAACTGCTAAGGAGTGAAAAAATAGCTTATTGAACCAGGTGTAAGGCGAGGGAAATGTTTACAATGTTTTCAGCTCCACTAAAGGATGTGCACTGGATATTTTAAGAGCATTGTACAATTGCAATGTTCTTCTACCAAAGCAATGTTCTTCTACAATTGCAATGTTCTAGCAAAGCACTGTGGAATAGATTTCACAGCACTGAATTGGAATTTCAGACCAAGCTGCATTGGGAGCAAAGCAAAAAGTTGAGTGAATAATAATGTGCAGTTTTAAACATTATAAATGAAGCGCCAAGAGTATGGATCTTTTCTTCTTTATAAAATCTCTTGAACATGAATCTCTAGCAAATAAAGTACTTGCTCAAAACTGAAAATAAAATGGCTTTCCCATGGGCTAAATCCCACAACTTGCTACTCAATGAGTTTAAGATTGTCAAAATGAAAAAAAACCAAGGTTGGGCATCCAGTAGCGTAGGTTGCTCAATGCAGAAGCTCTGGTGCAATTTTTTTCCCCAACCACCGAAACTTCTTATTGAGATTTAATAGCTGACCAGCTGTTGTAAGGCTGATGCAATGGGGATGAATCAGCATGGTTATTGCAGCTTTAAGACTGAGGTTGGAACCATAGGGTTTTACCTCTTTAAGAAGCTGTATATATAAAGGTGGCCATGAGAAGGCATATCTCTCTCTCCTTGTGTTCTGTCTCCATTTGTGAGTTTTCCATGCAGAGTAAAGAAGATTGATAGATTGCTAGGTATTTGCCTACCACGTATATTTATGTATATAGCTGTCTTGTATATAAACCACTGTTAAAAGACAAAGCCTCTGTGTGCTGTGTTTTGCTCCTGGGTTGTCTCACAATAGTAGTCACGCTGCAAATACTCTGACATTCTTTATCTGTGGACTTCAATTCACAGAATTATTAGCAATTACTACACTCTATCCTGACTGGAGAATCCCAGGAGTTAAAAGTCTACAGATCTGGAAGTTGTCAAGTTTGAGAAACATTCATCGAGCAGTTGTGTAAGTGGACATGAGGGAAGAATAGCTTGGTTGGATTAGTGAGCTGAGCAAACTGAAAGCTTTCACAACCATCTGGATGCCATTATGGTCCATTGTTACCATATCCTGTTTTAATATCCAGACCTTTTGTTAAGGACTTCATTGACAGATTTTTTTTTAAATCTTGGAACTTCTTAAACTTTAATGTTGTACTGTTCCGTTGAACTACAACTCCACAAAAGCTGTAATGGAGAAGAAGAAAGGGGAAGCAGAAACTAGTACTCAGTGGCATCCAGTTTCAACCCATTAGTACCAGTTGATCCAGATCAGAACAACTTTCATAGAAGAACTGAGATTTCTTGGGTACTTTCCTTTTGTTCTCATGTCCTGAAGACAGTGCAGCTACAGATCGAGGCTGCTCCACATATTGATTCAGAATTTGAACTTCCATGGAGTAGAAATCTGATAGTAATTAATGGGAGGTACAAAGTATAGACGTTTTAAAATAGCCCTTGCTGCTGTGAAAGTTATTAAAAACTCTGGGATTAAATGAACTATTTAATTTAAGGGAGGGAGCATCTCCTTTAAGCTGAGTTAGATTTCACCTCTGCATTTTACCCTCCAGAGCTGCTGCATCTGCAGTTCCTTTCATTTCAAATTTTCTGCAAGAGATGCAGATTGCTCAGTGCCTCACAAAGGAATAGCAAAACCTGACAAAGGCAGAATACATACAATCTGCAGATGCATGCAGACAAGAAAATGTCAAAATTGCAGAAGAGGATTTGGTGTGCCTTTCAATGGAATTTTTTTCCCTTCCCTTCACCCTTCAAAAAATTGGATTCAGTTGGTTCCTTCACCCAGTAATTCAGCAAATTAACCTGGAGGTCTTTTGTCTTCAATTGCCTGCAACAGTGAAGATTCATTCTGCTTTCCATTGACTGCTACTTGTGCTGGAGCCCCTCTGCCTTCCCCCATTAGCATGTTATTTTCTAATGGTGGATAGGGAAGAAGCACCAGAACCTATTTCAGAGTCTAGGTACAAGGGGAAATAATTGGAATATCTGATTAATTGGAAAGACTATACAGAATCAGAAAAACTATGAAAAACTAGGTCCCCTATCTCATTTAATTTAAATCCAAATATAGCCCCTATAAGACTAAAGGCACGGCGAGTTCCTTTCGCGTTAAAACCAAAAATTGATGAACAATTAGATAAACTTATCACACAGGGGGTATTAGAACCAAGAGACCATGCAAGGTGGGAAACCCCAATTGTTACCCCTATTAAACCAGATGGGTCAGTACGTATCTGCGGGGACTACAAAGCAACCCTTAACCACGCACTACAGCAAAGCGCATACCCAGTTCCGGTGGTACAGCACCTATTACATTATTTAGGGGGAGGTAAAATCTTTGTGAAATTGGACCTTGCCCGAGCCTACCAACAATTACTAGTTGACCCAGAAACAATGGAAGCACAAACAATTGTGACACACAGGGGGGCATTCAAATGCAACAGACTGCAATTTGGAGTTAGCATGGCCCCAGGGGTATTCCAGATGGAACGCCTATTGCAAGGAATAGAGCAGGGAGACCTCTCAAACACAAACAAAAGGGGAGGGAGAGACCCTCCACAAGTAAAAGAAGTGACAAAAGAAACCCTAACAATGACACACCAACCAATACTAACATTAGTCCCAATCGGAAATCGCAAACACGTACCTGAAACTATAGAAGAAGAAAAAAACTTGGGGACACTGGAGCTGACTTCGAAGAACCATCAGGAAGCCACTCCTGGTGGGAGTGGCCGAGCTGACTCAACCAGCCAGGAAAGGCCTGGAGGGAGCAGCATGGCTGACTCTACCTTCCAGGAGGCTCCACAGAAAAGAATGGGAAAAACAGCAACCCCATCCAAACAGTCCAGAGGCGAACTCACGACCGAATTGCGCAGGTCCAGTCAGAACCATAAGAGCCCCGCCTACTTATATGACTATGTAAGATAGGTGAGGCCCGGATTGGTTAGACTGGACCACATGGGGAGGGGTGTTATATATTTGCATACTTACCTATGATAGGTTGGTCCGTGGCAGCGGGAGATTTGAAAAGCCATCATTGGCCACGAGCCGTGAGCAGCCAGCTATAAAAAAGGCTGCCATGGTTTCTCCACATGCGATTACTAGAAAGAAAATAAAAAGGAAAAAAGTCAACTGGGTCTCGATTCTCTTTTCCCACAACGCAACACATTGTGTGTAATTTTAAAAATACCAAATAGCCTAGATTGCACACTGGCTAACCTCAATTTGGCCTCATAAAAGAAAGAGCTAGGGCAGGTTCAAGAAACCACCCTTGAAATGGTCAGCCTATAGTTATTTAAAGGAAAACCATGGATTTGAAGAATTTTGGGGATTGTGCTTGCTTGAAACCTGACTGAAAGCCCACAGAAAGTGACATCAAACAACTGAAAAAAAGTTGGCATAGAAAATTGGATACTGTAAATTTCTTTCCAGAACTTTTGCCCTGGATGCCTGACCTTCATGGTTGAAAATTCTCCTTTTGGGAGCCACTGAAGGATCTTTTTTTGCTGCCTCTATCAAAGCCTTTCCCTTTGCATCAGAAAAAATTAAAAGCACCCATCAAGTCTCCCTGATCTGATCCATTTTTAATCTTTTGCCAATAACGTGTGTCCCACCCAAATATTTTGGCAAAAAGGGGGGTATTGTAGAAAGTTAGCACCTACCCCTCTCCTAGAAGAATGAATATTCTAGGAAATATTAAAAAGGCAGAATATTTCCCCTAAAAGAGAAATAACAATCTTAAAGGAAACGGAAACAAAAGACCCCAGCTCCCTGCCCCCAGCAGATATTTTGGTGTCAGTTTATCTACAAAAGACTGGGCCAATGTATCTACAAAACAAAAGACCTCAGCTCCAGGATTATGGGATTATCCTTCAGGGCAAAGCCATTTAGCCACAATAGGAAATTGCCCTTCATTGTATCACCCAGCAAGATTCAACCAAGTTTGGGACACAGACAACTTCAGCTATGACTGCATAACCCCATGGGAGTCTGACAACCAATGGGATGCATTTCTTGCAAGGCCCAAGAGAGGGTATAAATGTATCTCATTCTCTATTCCATGTGTTCAGCTGCACCAGGATCATGAGCTTAATGGTTCTGCTCTATTAAACCTTCTAAGCAGTGTCCACATTTCCAGTGT